CAATGTTAAGTGAGGAGTTACTGTACACTAGTAAGTAGCTGAAGGGCTGTGGTGGGGAAGCTGCATGCTGCACCTCTTCCCATTGTGAAGAAAAGGTTACCAGGGAACACACTCCCTCCAGTGTCCATGGAGGTGTTATATCTGTATGCCCTTTTGTATGCCCCACCCCCAGCTGAATGCTAACTAGACTCTGTCAGCAAATTTGGGCGTCGGTTAATTTTCAGGAGAATCCTCCCAGAGAATTCTTAACTTTTTATCTCCAACTTACTGACGTGGCCATATATTGTTTCCACTATTCTCTCCCAAGTCTGACATGAGGAATAGCTCTGACAGTTGCATTAACAGCAACTTGTAAAATAATGCAACCACCACTGAAATATATTTAGTCTCTCTCAAACAGAGTTCTGTACTTCAACCATACTTAACTGGTCCCACCAGCAGTTCTCAAATCACATACACATTCTAGATCTAAAAGTAGTTCTTTCTAGTGCAATTCTTTTGAGAGACAAGCAAGTGAGTAAGACATGACATGGAGATCTGAAACTTTTAAAGGGATACTAATTACTTTATATCTGTACTCTGAAATGTGAGTGAAGAGTCCATAAGGGCTGCCCAGGTTATTAAGCAGACTCAGAGTGCATTCTCGGTACATGAACTCCTCACAAGAATGCCAGGGCACCAACTTTCAGAATTGGAACTATCAGCAGAATAAATGTCCCTTTGTTGCAACATGAAAAAGGGGAAATACTGAAGATCTTGGAGGTCTCCTCTCAGTTATATATCAACAATGAATGATCCATAAACATGGGTGGTTTGCCACAAGTGATAACTAAGAGTCCAGCCCAACACCCAATGAAGTCAATGGGAGTCTTTCCATTGACTTCACTGGACACTGGATTAGGCCTTAGGGTAGTAAATTTGTCATGGACGTTTTTTGGAAGGATATTTACTGAGTAACACAGATTTTGGTACAATTGTTGATGTCATAAAAATTTGTGACCTCCTTTAAAAAAATATCCACACAGAAATGCGCACACACCAGTAGCTTCAGTAGTCTGCCTTGCCTACATTAAGGTGGTGAAGATATGGCTGCTATCACCTATAGCACCTCTGCAAGTTCTGCATAGGGTGTGTCAGAATGGGTGTGTCCATGGCCATACTATCTTATACAGTAACTCCTCATTTAAAGTCGTCCTGGTTAACGTTGTTTCGTTGTTACGTTGCTGATCAATTAGGGAACATGCTCGTTTAAAGTTGTGCAATGCTCCCTTCTAACGTCGTTTGGCAGCCGCCGGCTTTGTCCACTGCTTGCAGGAAGAGCAGCCTGTTGCAGCTAGCTGGTGGGGGCTTGGAACCAGGGTGGACCACCAGCCCCCCATCAGCTCCCCCTATCAGCTCCCTGCTCCCCCTAAGTTCCCTGTGCAGCAGCTGCCCAGCAGGCTATCAATTGCTGGCAGTTCAGCTTTCCCTCCCCCCACTGCCATGTGCTGCTCCTGCCCTCTGCCTTGGAGCTGCTCCCGGAGACTCCTGCTTGCTGTGCGGGGGGGAGGAAGAGCGGGGCTGTCAGGGTGTTCCCCTCCCCCTGCTCCTGCACCCCACTTACCCCATCTTCCATAGAGCAGGGGGGACACACGACAGGGCTCAGGATGGAGGGAGCTTACTGGCAGCAGCTCCGGTCTCAGCAAGCTGATCTAATTAACAAGGCAGTGTACTTAAGAGTAGGGTCAGCATACTTAAAGGGGAAATGCACACCTCTTTCTCTAACACACGGTGTGTGTCTCTGTCTGCAATGCTGTCTCCCCTCCCTCCATTCCTGCTGCCTTGTAGAGTGTGAGAGTTAACCCTTGAGGACTCAGCCAATTGCTAGTTCATCATTTAGCAGTAAGGCATTCCCTGGGAAATATCCCACCTTCTGACTCCTCCACCTCAACCAAGCTTCACAATCATCATCACTGTGTACCAGTATTAAATTGTTTGTTTAAAACTTATACTCTGTGTGTGTGTATATATATATAATATAATCTTTTGTCTGGTGAAAAAAATTTCCCTGGAACCTAACCCCCTCATTTACATTAATTCTTATGGGGAAATTGGATTCGCTTAACCTCGTTTCGCTTAAAGTCACATTTTTCAGGAATGTAACTACAATGTTAAGTGAGGAGTTACTGTACACCAGTAAGTAGCTGAAGGGCTGTGGTGGGGAAGCTGCATGCTGCACCTCTTCCCATTGTGAAGAAAAGGTTACCAGGGAACACACTCCCTCCAGTGTCCATGGAGGTGTTATATCTGTATGCCCTTTTGTATGCCCCACCCCCAGCTGAATGCTAACTAGACTCTGTCAGCAACATATAAGTATGATGAAGAATATATAGCTTCTCCCAGATATATCTTTTCGATCCTGACTTTGGCATCCCTTTGGTGCACCATTAGCTCCAATAGCCATATGTTAGCTCTCAGATGGAGACCTTTATCATACAAATTGCGCAATACTACATTGCTTTCATTTCTCTCCAGTCCTGATATTAGGAATTTCTCCAAATCATTAGCAGCTCAGTGTAGCCCTTCATGTCTTTCCTCTTGGAATATCTGGAAGGATGGTTCAGATCTGACCATGTAAACACTGAGGCAGCATTGAATGCAACTGATGATATTTTTGAAGCTGCCTGGAAGCAGACCACTAATAATAGCTGAGATTTGAAGGCAGCTAATCTGAATAAATTTAGGTCGTTTTTTTAAAAAAGCAAACAAACAGGTCTGCCTTAATCTGTTGCTTTTAACTACTGAAGAAGTCCATTCCACATAAACTTGGAACAGAAAGATAGACTTTCATTATAAATCAGCATCTCATTCCTTAAAAGGAGCAAAGAAGTTAAGAGTTTCAAGTGATGACACCCACCTGGCTGCAAACCACAATTGGCATAGGGCTTTCTGAAATATCTATTAAAATACAGTGCTTCTGGAAATTAATTGTGACTTCAGTCTTCCAGAACTTCACATTCAGATGACAGGGGGAGACTAAGGATGTTTTTTTTGCATTAGGACCATTCTCAATCTTAATTTACCCAATTCTGAAAGTTAACAGTTAAGTTTAAAGTCTCCTGCTCGAATACTCAGAAGCCACATCAAAATACTTTAAGATTCGCCTCTTTAGGCAATTCCATGAACGAGGTCTTTTACCATGCTGCCAGGGAGCTTGGGCCTGCCTACCAGTAGACACACTCTGGCTAGATGGATATTGTGGCCTATTCTTTGAACCTTCTTATTTGTAACATATTGCCCTCCTGAACTAGTCTCTTTAAAACTAATGATTTCTTAAATGATAACTCCTTTTAACTGATAATGCTTGAAACTCAAAACTGGTGCAGAGCTGAGACATTCATTTTATGGAAAAAAAGACATAATATCATAAATTATAAATTAGAGGTAGGGCCAGTGGACAAATTTTGATTTTCTACTGAACTAGAAGCCCTTCCCACTGAGCAGATTTCGCTTGGACATGGGAGATGGGGGAAATCTCATATTTGAGCTTTATCCTGTTGCATTTAAACTCTTTGCTCCTGTTGCCTCAGTACCCGAATAAGCTTCCTGACCATTAGGGCAGAAACCACCTGCTCTTCATGTAATAGGCCAAATCCTAAAGTCTTGAGTCAGTAGGATCTGAGGTCTAATGTATTTCTGAAGTCAGTGAGGAGGATTCCTCTCCTCTAATCAAAAATGTTAATGTTCTAAATAAGTGGCTTCCACAGTGGCTTGTACTCCTGATTAGAGACTTTTAATCTACTGGATCATTATAGACCAATATGTTATCACTTTAGTTGCTGATGTAACAACAGACAAATATTAGCCATCCCTGAAAAATATTTTGATACATTTGGGGTTGGATTGTGCAAATGGACACAGCTCAGAGAACAAGCTGGTATAGAGACACTCTGTCCCTGGAGGAGCTTGGAGAGGAATTCAGGGACTGCAGCATATTCCGCACTACATGCCACACCACATTATGGGCTGGACTAGAGGAGGAGGCAAGACCATGGCCTGCTCTCTTCCTGTTGCCTTTGGGTAAATTCCATCCCAGGGTGCACAGGGAAGGAGCAGGCACTGCACTCTACTAAAGACAAGGACCGCAATTGCTGCTAGCCCTTACGTAGGTCATGCCAAGAAGTAGGGTGGATGACATTTAGGTGTGTAAGGCCCAACAATGAAGCTAGTAGGAGTATTGTCACTGATTTCAATGGGATGAAGATTTGGCCCTAATCAGACACAGATTGTTCTGGTTACCTTGTCACTAGTTATACTTCTCTTCCGCTTTGGCTGGTTTGCTGGAAGCAGCACGAGCAAATCAGCAGTTGTGGGCAGACCAGGTTTCACCACTGTCACCAGTGTTTCTTCAGGGATATTAGTTTCCTGCAGAGACAAAGACATGCACAGATTTACAGGCCTGTACGCTAACTTTATACTGTCAGTATTATACAAAAAAAATAATAAAATATATAGCTACTTTCACATATGGTTTTCTGGATCTGGTCTTTGGTGTTAAGATTTTTAATATGTAGAGAGAATTCTACGGAAGTCACTGGAAGCTAGAAAGCTGCACATAACCTTACATTAATTAGCAGAGATTTGAAAAGCTCTTTGAAAATTAGAAGTGTTATCACACATATCAAAGAGCTCTAATGGATGTCATGGGAAAGTGAACTGAAGCCTAAGTGGTTTGCAGGTTTACCACAACTGTGCAGTGAGCATGTAATCTTCCAAGATAAAATTTTCAAAAAGCACCTAAGTGTCTTAGAAGTACAAGCTCCATTTTCAAAAGTGACTTAGACACTTAGGAGCCTAAGTCTCGTTGAAATTCAGTAGGACTTAGGCTTCTAAATGATATCATCACTTTTGAAAATGTTACCATTCATCACAAATTCTTGTGTTGAGTGATATATATAGGAAGGCTGTTGTGAGATTTTAATGAAAAACACTGGTCAAATCTCATAGTCCTTAGGTTAAAAAGTATCTGAAAATCCATATAATTGTATCTAACTTCTTGTATATGATTTATTAAAAGTTAAGATGTGAGCCAATTTGATTGGGGGGGGGGGAGAAGGGAAGGAGGGAAGACACCCATCAGGCAGATGTACATTATGAAATGGGTAGAAGTTGATATGTGTGATTAATGGAACTCACTCTATTTGGCATTTAGTAGGTGTTGGGGTTATAAACTGGGGTGAAACAGGTGTAAAATAGAATGTCAGAATCCTGATCTGGTTTATACTGGTGCAAATCCAGAGTAAGTTCACTGACTTCACTGGGGGCCCTTTGACAATATGGCTCTGTGTTTCCTTGGTGATAACTATATCTTTATATATTTACCTCTGGGGTCATAACCTATTGATACGCTCCTCGACAGAATTCAATATGCGCTTATCTCTGGCAGTGTGTGCACCTGAATATTATTGCTCAAGTGCTCCCTACCTTAACGGCATTACTCTTTATTCATGTTACAATGCTGTTATGTGAAGCTTGACTTAAGTAATCTACAGGACAATTCAGAGTTCAAATGTGAGCAGTGCTTAATTTGTAATGAAAGAGGTGCCAGGGCTCAAGCAAGTAGGTGCCGAGACTCAAGCAATTTTTTTGTGTTCATAACTGATGCGGCAAGCCCAGAAGTACTGGGGCTATGAACTGCCAAGCCTAGAGGTCTGGGACTCAGCCCTAGCAAGCTCTAGCACAAATTAAGCACTGAATCTGAATCTAAGTCTTGTCCATACCTGCAATCTACATAAAGTGGCTGCAGCAAATTAATTCCTTACATCTTTTCTGTAATTTTCAGAGTTACACATGCAAAGCTGTAAATTATTATTTAAAAAAAAAACAATCAAAGACTAAATGTTGTATATTATAGTACCCTTTGTGTAACCCCTAACTACATCACATTCATGTTACACTTTTTTCACAAAGTCAAACTATTTGTTAATATTTCCACCTGGCCCCAAAATCCTTGAGAGGAGTATTTATTGTTAATTCCCAATTAGGCTGTGTTGGAAATAAATTGACAGTATTGCAATAATGTAATCTATGGCCTGTATACACAAGTGACACTGGTCTCAAACTGCTTCTAAATGTCGCTCATGGGGATAGTTTTATTGTTCTGCCCTGCCTCGTTTTTTTTAAATGGGAAGGCATTAACTTAACCTTCAACTTTATGACTGGAGAAGGAGCAGTTTATGAGCAAACTGAGAGAGCACCTTTGCAAGAAGTCGTGTTACTACCAGGCCTATGTCTTCCCTCCACTCTGGTATGTTGGGGTTGTACATGTCCAGATGTTTAGTAAACTTTAGAGAAAGAACTTGAAAATGATCTGGAAACAGGAAAAGAAACATTTTTGAACAATTCAAAGAGAACTGGGGAAAAACAGTTTTGTAGAAAATAATAACTCTGGAAAAAAGCTTTGTTAGCATTATTATTAATTATTATTATTATTCTTTGTATTTTTAGAAGCTCTTACAAGACTCATTTGCAGGCCAGGACCCCATTGTGCTAGGTGCTGTACAAAAACAGAATAAAAGACAGTTCCTGCCCCAAGGAGTTTACAATCTAAGTAGCATGGACCAATACTAGATTTTGTATTTTCCCCACTTTCCCAGCATTTTATGTCTAAATATTTCTAGCCACCAATCAAAGGCAACATGGAAAACATTAAGTCAAGTTTCATATACTCCACTGATAATTATCTTTTCAGTAATTTTTCATTAAGATATTACACCACACATAAAGCTGTGGTTTCTTTTGTTTTTAAATGGGCATGATTCTATGGACTTGATTCTTACTGAATCATAAACATCTGGTTCTTGCCCACTGCATTTTCCTTTTTTCATGCAAAACGAATACTTCTTTATGTTTTCTATAATCTAGCTGTGAAAATATGAACAGAAATGATATGGCAACGGCTAACTACTGCATTGTTTAAAAGAATAAATAAGCTACACTCCCAACATTTCTATGAATATAATCCAAAAATAACTGAAATACTAGAAATTGACAGTTTCTTAGTAAACAGGACTCTGTATTCTTTCCTTTCTCCCTACAGGCTCCTTGGAAGCATACCTGAAGAACCTAATGCAAAGCAGAGAAAGAGATCCTTTGGAATGCATGAATGATCCAAACGTGATCTCTTGGGCAGTTTAGACAGAATCATATTTTTATATTTATTTTTTCTAAGGGTGTCTTTATTTTCCTCAACCCCAATGCCCCGTTGGTCTTTGACTCAGGATTTGCCAATACTAACAGCAGCTGCAGTAGTGAAAAGTAAGAAGCATGATAGGCTTACAAGCCATGCTAATGGGGTTATATTTTTAAAGCTTTCTAAAAAGCTGATGGATTTATAAATGGTATCACAGGCATTCATAAAATCCATTTGTTAGAGGGCAAGAGGTTTACAAATGCTCTATTTAGCTTGAATCTTGGTGTTTACCATTATGTTATATTAAAAAGCATATTACAAGCAAAAAGTCTGTTTGGAATATTAGGACAATAGCTAAGTATCATTCTGTGTGTCCCCAGGATATATGAAGCTTTTAGCTCTCCATATTTGCAAACCTTAGCAAAGTAAGACTTATTAGATATCCCTGATACCCAGATTTGACAGCAGATATACAAGTTTAAATATTTCCTCTTCCTTCTTACATTTTTCATGGTACAACAGGCCTCGTCAGCACATTACACGGCACAGCAAAATACATTGTGATACAATGCAGCACATTAGCAAAAGGGTAATTTAACATTTTTCAGCAGCTCTTTCTAATCCAAACTCCTCGAGAAATGCCCAAATCATTAAGCAAAAAGGCGTTATCACAACAGGCAAATTCTTTCAAGTTTTTTACAATAAAAGTATGTGCCCTACTGAACTTCTCTCCCCTCACATTATTCTTTCTGTAGTAAGATCAACAGAATGACTAAAAATATTATAAAAACATATAAGTTCTATAGTATTCTACAGTTATGGCCCAAAATGCTGCTTTAAGACAACTGTTATCTGTAGTGCTTTGGAATAACATGGTAGCATTTTCTAGAAGGGATACAGGTCAAATTCTTCCTTAGCCTCTCTCTGTTCATTTCAATGGAGTTTCATTACAGATCAGATTAGTGTATTGAGTTTAGAAGTTTAACATGGCATTAGATAAAATTTCACAATAGGATCTGGTCTCTAAGGGCAATTGTAAAGTACATACAAGTACATGCAATGGACAAAAAAATACGAGGGAGTAAAATTATCTCACCAAAAACTCGGACAATCTTGGAATCCTGCAGCATGGAGTTCCCACAGGAGGCCTGCACTGTAACTCTCACCTCACCTGTCTCAGCAAATCTTGTCACCAAAAAACTGTCCAAAGTGAGACGTGGCTAAAAAAGAAGGAAAATTAAAAAAAAATGTTAGGAAGAATTACGGAAGAAATGTGTGTGAAGGACTAGTGATTGAAATATATTGGAAGGATCAAATAATAGATTGATTTTTTTCTGTGATTTTAATCAATGGTTAGCCAAGTCAGCGAATTCCAATTCTCTACCACCAGGTATGCTTGCCCTATGTTGGATACTTGAAAACTAAAATAATCCTTCATTCAGAAAATGCATATAAAATATACTTAAACAGTGTTCAAAATCTAATGTTTGACTTTGGAATTACAAAGTTAAGGGACACACATTTTTAAAGACTGAGCAAATCCTCTTCCTAATATAATTGAGAGACTATTAGGGTTTGATCCAAAGCCCACTGAAATGACTATAAAGACTCCCATTGACATCACTGGATTCTGGGTCAGGCCCTCAGTGCATAGGTCTTTCCCCTCTACACACCTGAGTTCAGATTCTATCATCAGTTACAATTAAATTAATTTTGTGGCCTGATTTTAGTGCCCGATCCATACAGGTGCACTATTGCACTTCTGCAATTCCCAAAGATGTCAAAAGGACCTGAGGTGCTCTGTACCTTGCAGAATTAGGTGCTTAGTCCATATTTGTGCACATCACAGATCCACCACACAATATCACTTGATCTGCATTCCGGGCTCAAGAAAGACCCAAGACTAGAATAATGTACTGGTGTATGGTGCTTGTCTGAACTATTCCTCCCTCAAGCAGTAATCTTAGTCTCTCTCTTATGAGCACTACATTGCGCTCAGACATTTTAAAATAATTATTTTAAAAGATAATTAGCCCAAATGAACAGAAGAGAATAATCCTGTCCCAGTAGAAATATTTAGATTTTTAATGTTTTATGATCCATGTATCTAACCTATCTATCTACCCATCTATGACCATAATTATAGTGTATGAGCACCTTTTTTGTCTTCGCCTTTTTAGACTTAACTTCATCCCTCTATAACAAACTGTAAAGAATATAACATCACAGAAACAGACTTAGTCAGAAATATATATTTCTGTGCAGTATTTCAATTCCCATCTATGCTAATGATCACATAAATAGAAGCTCTCATAATTCACTGATGCCATAATCCCAAATGCATTACATCACAGTTTCCTTAAAGGTGGAGAATTGCAACATAACTGTGACTCCACTAAAGGAAATGGTCTGGAGAAGTAGCCCGATTCTAAATGAGAAATTTCCATTTACACATAAATAGCAATAATGGACACCACAGAGGTTGTGCAAGATGAGGCCCTTGTCCTCTGAAGTTTGTTGACACTAATAAAGAAAAAGGAAACCTGATGCATATGTTATGGGACTGTCCAATGGTTAGGTGGACACAAGATTGAAAATGGTGCTTGATTTCAGCAACCAATCCTCAGGTGAGAATTATACCTTAGGTTATGTACCTACTACGCTGGATTTAACTCCACCACCAAGCCTTTGGTTCTTGAAGGCTGCAATGATTATCAAATGTGTAATTTTACAAAAATGGAGGAGTAAGTTTATGCCCAAAATAGAGCACTGGTATTTGAACCTGTCTGAGTAAGCAGCGAAAGAAAGAACAGCCTACTGACGTAGAGAGCAATAATATGAATTCAAAGAAATTGGACCCTGTTTATGATACTTTTGGATAAAGAATTCTGAGATGGCTCAAATAATGGCAGACTTCTGTTATACCTGAGGTCTCCTCCTTCCCTTTCCTGCCTATTTCTTTGTGTCTTATTATTATTATAGTTACCACCACCCTAACATCTTATGTCTGGGCTATTGTCTGATTTTTCAACTTTGACAAACTATAAAGCTGTTTAAATTGCACAATTCTATTGGCTATCCTGTGAAATGTGTGGAACTTTGTAACATATACAAACCACAAGTCATTTATATTTTTGTATTTTTGTTTGTTTATGAAAATCAATAAAAAATGAATAACAAAAATAGCAATAATGGGAAAGGAACAATAGAGAAAGTTCATGATCACTTAATGGGGTTTAAATAACATCTAATAGATGGTTTAACAGACTGTTTGAAATAGAAGGTATTCTGCAAAATGTCATGTATACCAGGAGAGTATTTTCCTGAAAGGAATAGGCATTAGACATAATCCTTATTGAAGAGAGGCTGAAAAAAAATCTTCAATGAAATCTCGTGTGTACCTGAAGATTGTTTCCTATCCACCAGTAGAAGACTGTCAAGTTAGGGTTCTTGGGCAATACGATGGCTGTCAAATTCACCTCCTGGTTTCTCCCAATGACTGGAACCACTTCTAGATGTAAAGCCTGCAGTGGAGCTGAATAGAGTTCCAAAAAGGCCATTAATCAAGAATCCATCAATCTATTGAATGCCTCTGGTTTTTCTCTTGTTCAGCATTCTGCAGCAGTCTCACCTGCACAGAACAAGGTCCTGAATTTATTTTTCTCCCTCCCTGTTTTCTGCATGCATCAATGAAAAGAGCTGAAGGTATGTTCTGGACATTTTAATTAAACGAAGGAGGTCACAAATAAAAATCCAGAGCAATGTGATTTATTGGTGCACCTGCATGAGTCTTTCTTGTGCATGTCTAACATAGAAGATCATAAGTAAATTTAGCAACAGTTTAAAAAAAAAGACGGAAAAGGAAAGTAATCAAAGATAAAATTGATGGAAATTCTACCAGGCCTCTGATATTTTTAAGGCAAAATCTGAGAAGAATGATGCTGACTGTTCATTTTCGTTACAAAGTATCAGCAGTCAGGCTGCCACTGGACTCCTCGCTGTTTTTTTTTAGTCAGGCTAATATTCAGCAAAATATCCAATAAATACATACTTTAAAAAGCTGTCTATTAGAAGCTAATTGATTTGCAAATTTAAATGTATAACTTCTGTATATTAAACACGTGCTCTTAGAGTAAATTTGTTCCTTTCTGAAGTTTTACCTAGTGAGGCTATACTTTGCAGGCAGTGTACAAAAACTGCATCACTTTAAAATTTCTGTATTGGGGTCTCACTAGTCTCATTGTATTTTGGACCATAAAAATGTTTACTAAAATAATATTATTGAAAGAAAATCTTTATAGGAGGCATGAGTTATATTTGTTTCAGAAAAGCACTCAAAGCTTGGAGGCGTTTAACACTTATTTTTTTACTTATATTGCACCTTCCATTTCAGAAACCCAAAGTGCTTTACAAACATCAATTAAGTTATTATATATAATGAATCCATCCTATCATTTCTCTCTGTACTCTAAACCAGTGGTCTCCAAAGTGGGGTGCGAGCACCCCAGGGGATGTGCAAGAAGACCCTTGGGGGTGTGTGGCAGGAAGAGTTGCTTCGTCAGTTTGGGCGGGAGTCTGAGTGGCTTTTTTTTTTTTTGCTTTGGCAAAAATGGTAGAGCTGGCGCGGCAGTGGGTGCGTGCTCAAAAATTTTTTACTGGTCGGGGTGCGCGATCAAAAAAGTTTGGAGACCACTGCTCTAAACATCTCTTTGTCATTCAGCGCCATTAGCCTCAATCCAGACATCACTCTGAGCCTTTCCGTACCCTCTTTGCACTAATGACATCATTGCCCGTTCACATCCAATTCACACTCACTGTGGGTATGCCTATGTTCCACAATTCCCTTTACTCTGGTCCAAGTATTTGCTTTTTCAAAGAACTGAGCCTTGCTCTAGCCCCTGGTACCAGCTGCAGCTTCTTATCCTCTGGATCAGAGAACCATAATTTTGGTACATCCTACTATGAAACGTTTCTTTAAAGATCTGGTGCATATCTGTCCTGCAATTTGGGATTTTTCCTATTCATGGGGTTTGAGTTTAGTATTGACAAGTTTCATGAACTCTGCCTTTGCCCTCTGTCCCTCCAAACTGCATTCCTCCTAACTGTTACATCAGGTAAAAAGAATTTTGAGATATTGGTATTTATGGCTTATTCTACTTTCATGATATTCCACGGAATAAGGTGTTTCTGAGCCCACAACCTACATTACTCCAGAATTTCCAAATTCCATTTTAATTAGTCCTGGCCATCTTCCTCAAACCTCACAATTTACCAGGACTGCATAAATCAGATGTAAAGTATCTATTGACCCTGGACAAGACAAAATACTTTCATAAAACTCCAAGATTGTTTGTGGCACTGGGTAAAAGTCCAATGGGAATAAGGAGCGAGATACGAGGGGGGATGGGACTCAAAATCAGTTTAGAGATTATCCTAGTGGATCAGCCTTTGTACTCAATCCTAATCAAATTAGTGTTCCAATACCAGATTAGATATAGCATTCATTTTACGCTTGAGAAATACCTCCCCCTATGCCATTTGTAAATCCACCACATGAAACTTCATTTACATCCTTCACTCATCACTCATCTCCCGATATAGGAGCCAAATCAGAGGGACATTTTGGGAAGGCAATCCTTCAGCCCTCCTTCAGGGGTTCTTACTGCTTGTCGGTCTCCCAAGAGTGGGGCAATTCTCAATGGAGAAAGGAAAGTTACTCACCTATCACAGCAGGCATATATTGCTTCTACAGACCACACTCACCCACTCTCCTTCCCTGCCTCTGTTTATCAAATCTATCAGCTTGGCATCTAAGCACCTGACAAATACTGAATTAAACCTGAGAACACTACGCTGTAAGGAAATGTTACTACCTCAATTTTTAAAAAAATAGATAATGAAACTGAGGCAATGAGTTTAAGGGCCTAATCCTGCTCCCTTTGCTTTTAGTGGGAATTTTGCAATTAATCTGTATGGATGCAAGATAGGGCCCTAACTGATCACACAGCCAGTCAGGGCAGAGGAAGGAATAGAACCCAGATCTCTTTACTCCCCGTCATTTGCATTAATTACTAGGCAATGCTGCATCTCAAAGACTCTGGTTAACAGAAGGGAAATATGGGTAGCTGGAGCCACTGTCCATTTTCTATCGACTTGCACTAAAAGTTCCAATCTCTGCAGAGGCTCCAATGTTTACTGCTTTCTATTTGGTTCCAGGATTCATGATGGAGGCCATCCATCCCACTCCCCAAAGCCTGAAGCTAGTACTTGGAGAACACAAGAGGAGTAACCTGCCTTTTCTGACGATATGATTTGTTTCTAGGTTTCTATTTGACCTATCTAAGAACAGGAGAAGCAACAGCTCTTATGAGTTCTGAAAGGGGAGGAAAATGCAATTCCAGTGGTGAGCTGCCTGCTTTATTTCAATTATGAATTGACTGAGGTACATTAAACCTCTGATGGAGCATGCTGTTCCTGGTGCACTGCTGTTTCTTTTCTTTGAATTCTAGTTGATGGTTTTTATTTTGGTTTTAATTAAAAGAAAAATAAATGGTCTATTTCATGTGATACTGCACATTCTCACTGCAATATGCAGTTAAGTCAATATACACTGAAGCCAACATTTGAAACTTGGGTAGCTAAAATTAGGCAACTAAATCTAGATTCAGGCACCTTAACTAATGATCTGATTTTCAGAAGTAAGGAGCACCTACTGCTCCCACTGATCTGAGACTTCTGAAAATCAGGGAAGAGAAGACATCGTCTCCACACCTTTGAAAATCAGGTCACTTAGGTATCTGAATATGTATTTAGGTGCCTAAATTTAACCACCCAAGATTGAAAATGGTACCTGAAACCATAGAGGAAATTATTGTCAAAGCTGGGATTAGAACTCAGATACCCCTACTCCTGTCTTAGATGCTCCAGCTATCTAATCACTAGACCATGGAATAGAGGGGTAGCTGTGTTAGTCTGAATTTGTAAAAAGCAACAGAGGGTCCTGTGGCACCTTTTTCTGTTAGTCTTAAAGGTGCCACAGGACCCTCTGTTGCTTTTCACTAGACCATGCTTCCCTTTAAAGTCAAGTCTCCCTTTGATTTGGTAATACCCTCCCACATTTACAATTATCCGCATTAACCATGTGCAGCAGGTGCACTACTGCATGAGGAAATTCAAAGAAATGTATTTTGGTGATAATATCTTTAACATGATTTCTTCTGGAAATCACTGCCCCGTAGCTATCATCAAGTTGTTGTGAAGCTGCAAAAGTGAAACCAGAGAAAAACAAAACAGCACAACTTACAATTAACTTGAACAAACACCACTGCCTCATCATGCCCGGCAACATTCTCCGCCCTGACTGAGACACGGTAAATCCCAGGGTTCTCATAACGGTGCCGAATGGGTTCCCCTGTCATTGTGAGGTTCACATATATTGCCTTAAAGCCATCTCCAAGGTCCACCTGGTACTTGGTATTTAGAATATCTCCCTAGCAGAAGAAATAGATGAGAGATGTTTTGAATACTCAAGATTCAAAGAAACAGGACACATTATTATTACTTATTTGTATGTGGTAGTACCTAGAAGCCTCAGCCATGGATCAAGGCCCCATTGTTCTAAGTGTTATACAATCACAGAACAGAAAGACGATCCCTGCTTCAAAAAGCTTAGGACAAGTGGTGGTAGTGGTGGTGGTGTGTGTGTATTAATATTCCCTTATCTGTAACACAGATCTAGTTTAATGAGGATAAAATATTCCAGATTAGTCAACAGGTTGTAACTGCATTATGCTACACTGACTATGCCTCTGGATATGACCAACATGACTGTGCAGAGCAATCCCAATCTATAAGTATTCTTTGACCTTATCTAGGACTCTTAAGCCCTGTCCACTGTGCTAGCGAAAACCCAGTTGACTAAGCTCAGTGCTTAGCGTAGCGTAGCGTTAGCATCAGGGGCGGCTCAAGGCACCAGCGCACCGAGCGCGTGCCTGGGGTGGCAAGCCACAGGGGGTGGCCTGCCAGTCGCTGTGGGGGTGGCAGTCAAGGAGCCTTTGGCAGCATGCCTTTGGGAGGTCTGCCAGTCCCATGGCTTCGGCGGCAATTCGGCGGCGGGTACGCCGAAGGCACGGGACCGGTGGACCTCCTGCAGGCATGTCGCCGAAAGCTGCCTGCCTGCCGTGCTTGGGGCAGCAAAATACATAGAGATGCCCCTGGTTAGCATAGTATAGTTAGTACAGTATTACTATTGCTAGCATAGCATTTATACCACCTTAGCCATCTGCTATAATTTATTATTCATTGTAGCTCTGCAGAGTGCTCATGAAAATGACACTGTCTTTCTAAAGTCAGGCCTAAAGTATTAGGATGATAAAGATTGTCTTCAATGTGCAACTTCATTAAAACAAAAAACATAACCGTTTATGACTTTATATTGTCACTAGGCTACACACTATGGATATTCATGACAGTGAGTATAGAACTCAGATTCCCCCATCTGGACAGAGCCACATGACTGGAGCTAAAGGAGACTCTCCATTAGCTGTTAGCAGTACATGGCCTCGGACCCACATTGTAACAGTTCTGATTGCATCCAGGAAAGGCAGTCACCTGACAGTGCATTACACTCATTATATGACTAGAAAAGGATTCCAGCCAATCACAACATTCAAAAATCACGTGTTTATCGCCTCTCAAATGACCCTGAAATCTTTATATGTTCAGTTCCATTATTCCATTTCCACACAGGCCACACTCTGAAAGTCATACTTCAAAACCTCATTCCAAAACATGATGTTAACAGAAGATCAAAGGAGGCAACAGCAGACAAGAACGTTCAGATCTTTGCGTTACAAAGGAAAGGAAAACATTTTTTTTAAGTGCTGCTGTTTGGATGAATTTTCTTCTGTCTTGTCAGATAAAAGGAAAAAATGTTCACAAGGTGAGAGAATGCTCACAGTAAAGATCCTGCATAGTTCTCAAATGCCTCAACTCCAGAATGCATCACCCACAAAAGGAGTTTATGGCCTTGTATACCCCTTTGCTGTGAACATTTCCTTCAAATCACCATTTACTTTGGATACAGATGGGTGGAATTTAGTGGAGGAGACAATACCATATTAAAGTTTAAAGCAAAGGAGATTCCTCAGCTGTGTGCTTGTAAGTGCAATTCATTTAGGTGACACTAAAGTGCAAATACTGTTTGTTTGCTTTCTTATGCTAGCAAAGCACCTACATACTATCTCCAGGGGGTAGGTTTTATGTTGTGAACCAGATCTGAGTTTTAATGAATGTTTTGCTCTCACAATGCCCTTCCTATTATAATACTATTTAAGGATCTTGATGTTTTCAAAGCACCGATTTCATTCTACAAAATAGGAAGCTAATAATGGTTTGATAACAAAAGAGGAACACAGGAAAAATACAGCTAAATTCAATGGAACCTGGACACATCTACATAGTTCTTCTGTGAATAGTGGATTTTCTTGACATTGTTTATTCATGCATTTTGTGGACTGAGCGAGCAGAGCTTGGGACAGCTTATTTTCTTCTTCTTGTTATTAATATTATTACTATTTATAAACTCAGTAATGTATCACCCAGACAAACACAGGTGTGAGCCAAAGCCCCTTGCTCCTGTGAAACTAAGAACAGGCATTCATATACAGCAATAAACTAATACTGTGTGACAGACAGATATAATACTACATCTCTTTGGTGTTAGTGGATCTATCCCTTAAGCTCACTAATTGTCAGAAGACCTAATTGGTCCCTTGTGCAAAACTTGCCTTTCTGTTTCTAATTAATGTTATGGACTTATTGATTCTCAGCTATAGGGGGCAGCAAATTGTTAGGTTTCTTGTAAAGGAGACTTATAGTTCAGAGTATTATGCATAGCTGTCACTAATAGAGAGAGAGAATACCATTTGTGACCTTTGAGCATCTTTGCCTGTCCTAGGTGTTCTACCGGTTGACAGAGAAACACATTCAAGCCTCAGAATTCCTACTCTGGCAAAAATCATGTTTTTAGATGCCCCATCACAATTAACAGAAATGATAAATCACTGAGCTCTCAGATTATAGTCAAGTGCTGTTTCTTTACTAATAATGAAATGGTGACAGACAGAGAATTAGGAAAAGAAATGGAGATATATCTGACCTTACCATAGGTAAGGCCAATAACTACTTAGAGCCAGATTCTGCCACATATTAAGTACTAACTTACTCTGCAAGTATTCCCATTGGCTTCTGCAGGAATGAATCAGTGTCCATGGTTGTACCATGCAGGCCTGCTGAAATGCATGAATTTCCTCCAGACTCTTTGAAATCAATGGGATTAATGTCAAAGTAAAGTAGTACTCAACCTGAGAAAGTATGGCAGAATCTGTCACTTAATGAGTAAGTGTTAAGAACCACAGACATACAGATCAGACTGTTATAGTCTGGTCATGCCTTTAAGATGTTGCCTCTTTTAGGCAACACAGGGAAACCTGTCAATAAGGACTATACATAGTAGATGTCATTATCCTTTACTACCTGGTGATTTTATTTTATGTTTTACCTGATTACCAAGAAAATGTGATTCACTTTTTTAATAGGTGAGACCAAAAGAGCTCAGGGCCAGATTTTGAAATGCTCAGTACCCACAATTGGAGCCAGATGGTCAAAAAAGAGATAGGAGCTCCTATTTTAGGCACTGAAATAAAGTCCAGATTTTCAAATTTGCCACTAGCAGCTTCCACTGTAACACTGTGGGTGCTGTACCCTTTTGAAAATCTGGGCCATGATGGCTAATCCCCATCTGTGGGCAGGAATGAATCTGGGACACAGGTTGTATCAACAGCCTTGCTGAAATGCATGAATTTACTTCAGGCTCCATGTCTTTACTGAGGCTGAACATTTATCTGTATTAATGTTGTCTGTACTCTGTTTTCCACATGATTTTAAGTACAATTTCTTTACATCTCACTTGACTCTGCTCTAACACTGAAACTGGAATATTCAAAGCAGATCAAGGGAGCTGGCGCTTAACTCACTTAAGCTAAGATTTTCAAAGTTGCTGCTATCTTTAAGGAACAGTGGAGAAAAACGATGTGGAAGGGATGAACCCAGTTTCTTAGATGGAGTTGTCATTTGTGTAGTTCACTGAATACTTCACCCGGCCAGAGAGGAGAGAAATGATTGCCTAAAAATAACTTCTAAACCAGCGTTGACATTTTTAAGAGGCTGAAGTTCTTCATTACCTGCTCTTGTGTGACTATAAAGGTGACATCTTCTCCAGGTTTAACAGCTAGGCTCTCTCCTTTGATGCTGATCTGCAGGCTTTTGGGAGCAATCAGTGGACACATATGCTGGGCTAGATTCTGCTGCAAGTCAACACCACCTTCACATACATTAGACACCACTTTCCTGTACCTGCATAAAACAATAAGCAGTGAGCAGACAGGACTGGAGAATAACAGGTGGGTGCCATTGGGGGCACTGCAGGACAGTATAACAATGGCTACCACATGGTAATTGACTTCTCAGTGGGTTTGGTCAATGTCCCAAAGATCAAATGGAAATCAGATCAAACAGGTTCTGCATTACTGAGGAGCTAATTCCCGTGCTGATGAACTATTCTATGCCTGCGTGGCTCTTAAAACACTTCGAGGGTTAACAAGGAAGCACTCAGGATTATACTGCAATTGTGCAAGAATCAGTTTTATTCAGGTTTGTTATTTTTAACCATTCTTTTTAACACAATTGACATTTCATTCTTCTGAGTTCAAACATGCTATAATACAGTGGCCATTCACTACCTAAAACAAAACAAAAAAAACAAAAAACAACAACGGATTTTCACAGATAAAGCAAATACTAGCAAACTGATTTTCTTGCCTGATATGACATTTCAACATTTGGTCCCAATCTATGCAGCTGAGAAAGATGATGTTATTGCCAGCTGCAACTTATTCTCAGCATAGACATCATACCACATTGTAGTGTATGTTCTGTGCTCTATTGTTTACAGTTCGGTAAAGCTTTCCTTTGATTCTCAGTTCCCCAGAGGATTAGGAAAAGAATCCATTCTCTGCAGAATTCTTTGCCCCTGAGGACACGAGAAGCTGAGTGAGGATATATACTTATTCCTAGAACTGTAAATTATTTGAATCAGAGGGTAAATTACTCCAAAATAAAATTAAAGGATTAAAATTAAAGGGTCACTGTCAACTTGAAAGTCATATCCGAAAAATATGTAGCTACTATTGTTATAAACAGAAAGAAAAATATTTCTCTCTCTCTTTTCCGATTGTTTATTTGGGGCCTTTGAGGACTGTTCTCTACATGGCGAGTTGCACCCCTCATGTGCTGCTCTGTGGGGAGCACATTCACATGCTCTAGCTCAGGCTCTGCAAGAAGTTGGTTACTAGTATTAGTAGCAGGAACCCTGAAACTGAAAAGACACCAATTAAGGGTGCACACAGGAGACGAATGGGAAACTGTGCATTGTTGCTGACAGTGATTTTTGCTGCTTTCTTGAAAGCACCAGCTCCTGGAAGCATGTGATTACCTGAGGATCTGAGCTTTCATATGTTTTCAAAAAAGTATGTTTCTAACTCTCATCATTGTGAAGAAAAGCAGGAAAATGTGACCCCAGTAGCAGGTTTCACTCAGAGGCCAGCAGCCCCAGCAGGCAGGCCGTGGCTTGACATTCCTTGCACCTTGTAGTGGGATTTCACTCTGAGGCCAGCCCATCAATTCCCTGGTGCTCCAGGTTTCTCCTGGACCAACTGGGGGGCTGAGGGGAAGGGAAACGTTGGGGGCCCATGCCATCTCTCTCCACTGGTCCCAGCCCAGAGCCCCAGGGGGAGAGGTGTGAAATGCCTCAGTTGCCTTCTCATGGTGCACCTGAGCTGCCTCTCATGGGCTGCTTCCTACCTCTTCAATCTCTCTTTAGTTTGGGGTGTGGTCGCAGCCCACTTCCCCCAACGGGAGTTCCCAGTCAGTCCCCGCAGCTCAGTCAGTCAACCGAACATTCCCCAGCTCTCGTCCAAGTGTTATTCTCCCTCATCAGGGAGACAACGGAGGGAAAAGAGTCAGACCCCTATCCTCCCAGTTGGGTCTTACCCACAAGTCCAGACCCTCTCCAGTGGATTGCTTTGTCCTCAAAAGCTGCAAAATGGCTTCCTCCCTTCAGCTAGCCTCTCCTTCACTCTCCCTCCCTGACTGACTGTCAGAGTCTCCTTTTGAGTGGCTCCTCCATTTCGAACATGCTCTGCACCTGCTGAGAGGTGGGCCCTCTTGGCCCAGTAATGCTCCTTCACTCCTTTAGTCACTGTAAAGCTCATCACATCCCTAAAGGCTTAAATACCACAAAAGAAATGAAAAAAACCCTCAAAATCTCCTGATTTTTGGAGTTTGACAAGATTTGTGGGCGCTTGGGTTTGGCCATATTTTGTATGTTTGATGCTTTTGCTTTCAAGGATCAGAAAAACCCTTAAAACCTTTTTTTAAAAGGACACTTTTTTTAAAAATCAGGACATACCATTTAAAGGGTGCTTTATCAATTTAAAAAAAAATCAAGTTGACAGAGCCCTGGCCCTTCCTGCAAGTCCTAGCCCTTCCCCCCACTGAAACCCTCCTACACACTAAACCTACCTATGGATAATTTTGATGTAAACAATTTAACTATAAAGAGTATTTAATTACTTTTCCCTAAGGCAACGTTGTACTCCTCTGCAGGAGTGCTCTCCCCCTTGAATGCTGGTAAAAGTATCAAATACTTACCCTGTGCTGCTCACATAGGCCTGCCCTAATACGCAATCTTCAGGGGGTGATTCTGGGTTAAACCAAAAGTTAGCAAAGCACTTGCTGGATTCTGATTTCAGAGGTGCTGAACGTTCAAATCCATAATCACTGCAAAACAAACCCAATTAATCTGTTAGCGCCCCTTATTTATTAGCAAATATGTTTTCTGTGGTTGGATAGAAGTGAGGGAGAACCTATTTTTGAATACTATCTTGTACCAAGCCAACACACAACATGCTGAGCCCAATTCTGCCCTCAGGGTGATTCCAAAGCAAGGCCGGCTCCAGGCACCAGCTTAACAAGCAGGTGCTTGGGGCAGCCAAGGGAGAGAGCCGGCACCTGCGGCAATTCGGGGGCGGCAGGTCTCTCACTCCCTCTAGGAGCGAAGGACCTGCTGCTGAACTGCCGCCGCCGATCGCAGCTTTTTTTTTTCCAATTGCCGCTGCCGATCGCGATCGCAGCTTTTTTTTTTTTTTTTGCTTGGGGCGGCAGAAATGCTGGAGCCGGCCCTGTTCCAAAGGCAGTGATTTCAGGGCAGAATTGGGTCCAAAAAGTTTTGTGAACTAGTTCCATAGAATTCTCTCTATTGGCAGTTTCGTTTTTTTAAAGGGGTTCTTTTACCACCCTTTTTCCTCCACTTCACTCAGAACTAGAGAGGATTTGTTTTAAATACAATAGGTCAAATCCTCTGATCATCGTTCAAATTTTGTTCCATGGGAGTTTGCCTGAGTAAAACATCAGGACTTGTCTAGTCAGGTGGAAAAACAAAACAAAACACCTTACTTCAAAAATGTCAATGCTTTTGTGGTTCTGTTTTTCAAAAGAAACTCCACAGCACTCATCTTCTGTAGCTCTGCATTTCTCTGCCACGCTATGAAATTCTATATAATTGCTTGCAAAACCCACCAACATAAACAGTAATAGAATTACTGAAGTAATTTTGCCTTTTAAAAAGGAACAGATGGGAAAACAACCTCTCATTCAGATCCTGCTGGGACGTTTTATTGTTGTTTTCAGCTTAGGAAAGTAGTGGGGTTTACACATCCCAGACTCTCACACACTTCATCTTTAGGATAACCCTGAAAATCCATAGAAAGTCTCACCATAAGAAATCAGAGTTTGCACACTCGCAAACTTTGGATGTGAGAGCAGATGTGAAACTCCTCCCTTTAATGCACCAGGATGAAATCTTCCTCTTCCGAAAACTTCTCTGCTGACCCATGATGCAGCGATCACCCTGAACATTAAAGCACAGGAGTGTAAAAACCAAAGCTATGAGAAGTTTTGTTTTTCTGAGTTTGTTCCAAATTGTACTGTCATGAAGTCCACCCACTTGTGACTTAGACTGTAGCCAGAGAAAGGCTGGTCTTGTGGCTGAAGCACTGGACTCGGGGTCAGGAAATCTGGGTTTAATTCCTGACTCTGTTACAAGCTTCCTAGGTGAACTTTGGCAAGGCATTTAGGTCAAGACTTTTAAAAGTGCCTAGTGATTTTGAGTATCTGGATTTGTGGTGCCAGATGTGAGACACCTTAAAGGGGCCTGGTTTTTCAGATGGCATTTACTCCACACTTTCTGTAAAACAAGCCTATTTAAGATGTCTCAGGTTGGGCACTCAAAAGCAAAGACTCCTGAAATCTTGGCACTTTTGAACATCTTGTTAATCTCTCTGAGCCTCAGCTTCTCATCTGTAAAATGGGGATACTAATACTTTTTTCCCTTCTAACCTCTTGTATGTATTG